GGGGGGGGGGGGGGAGGCCACCAGCCTCTTACGTATGTGGACGTTTCTTGAAACGTGCAGCAGTGCCCAGCAGACGCAGAGAGAGGCGGCAATGGTGGAGCCAAACCGGGCGATGAGCGGACCATGTGATATATCTTAGTGCTTGGAGACAACTTGTTGGAGACTCTGAAAAAACCACTTGCTGCAGCGATACAGGGCATTGAAATACAGCAGGTATGTGCGCCTGCTGGCATCACTGGTCCTTCACCCTTCAAGTAGGAGACTCAAAATTCGCCCTGTGAAAGAAATGTCCGTCCAATAGCCAGGTCATTATTTCCTCTCGCTGCTGTACATCCGCTGTGCAGACTTCGACCAAAGCACATTCCTTCGAGTGAGGTATTTATGTTAACGGGTATGTGTTTTTATTGTTAGCATCGACCGCGCTAACCGGCTGACCAATGAAACGACGTTAGTCTCAGAAAAAAAAAAAGTCTCAGTGCCATGTACTGGGACTCCGTGAGGGGGTGTGTTTGCAAGTCTATTCTGTGGTTCGTTTTACTTTATTTTTGAAAGACCACATAAAAAGAGCTTCCGTGTGAGTGAGTGAGATGGATTAAGCGAGTAGTTTTTACGGTCTGTCGGTGGCTCTTCCCATCTACGAGCTTTTGCTCCCTCTGATTCGTCGAGCGTTGTAAAACGACCTCCCGGATTTGCGCACCCAGACTTGGCACCCAGACCACAGACCAAGAGAGTTAACCCGGAAAGTTCCACAGAACTCTCGGCGTAAACAGTGTGGTGTTTCCTACCCGTTGAACCAGACCTGGATATCAAGTTAACTGCGAGGCACAAACTAACAGAAAAAAATTGCCGTGTCCTGCTCGGGAAACCGTAGAAGTACAGGTTCTCTCCGCTGATGCTATGAATCCATTGCTAAACTATCGTGCACTCTGCCTGAGATAGAGATGGAATCGTTGTGTCATACAAGAAAAATAAAAATCAAATCGGTGTGTCGGTGGGGGTAAGGGTTGCACCAGTGAGCAACCAGTAGCGCGGGCCGGGGACTCCACCGCCACGGCGGGGCAAAGCCACGGGAGAGCGGTGGCACGTGTGGCACGTGCTGCTGTGGCGTCCTTGCGGTGCAGGTGACTGCTGCTACTGCTGTTGATTGTCGCTGCTGTTGGTCAACCAGCATATATATATATATATAGAAGCACGAGGAGGGCGTCTTCGTGTTTGCGGGTTTGGCTGTGCGGCCGGTAGTTTATGTTGTTTCTCACATTAGCTCTACAGTCCGCAAAAAATGGGGGGGCCGTGGTCTCAAAACCCGGTATATACGACGCCGCGGGGAAACAAAACAAAAATAGGGTACAAACCACTCGGAAAAAGAAAACAAAATGATAAAAAAAAAATAATAATAACAGATACCGCACCGACCGTTCGAGAAAAGGGCCCTATGAAACCGATCAAATTAAACAACAACAAAATGTGTGGTGTGCGAGTTTAGCGTATTATTCCATCAGCCTCGTGTTGTGTGGCAACGTGGCGAGAGTGAAACAACCTGTAGTCTTGCAGTCTTTGCCATGTTACCATCGAGTAGACCATGTTTTGGGAATTCTGTGTTGCGGGTCGCCCCAGCTCTGGGCATGCAGGTACAGCAGTAGCGTTTTTTCGCGCATGTATGTATTTATTTATTTTCATGTGAAGAAATTATACGTCCGCTATCCGACCCAGAATGGAACCTTCCAAACCTTCCTGGTCCCAATCGCAAGGTGCGGCGAAGTTGAAGGGGT